ATCTTTATGACATTACAGACACATAACTAATTCAAAAAAGGTTCATGTTACATTTTAAATATAGCCTATTAATTTTTTTTTTTGAAACATTACACATTTTTGTATTCATTTTATGGAAATCCTCTCAAATTCTCATTATTTTGTGTATATGGATGTTTTAAGTTTCTTTTTTAGGTAACCAACTTTTAATGTAGATTTTTATTATTATAATTGTTACGTTTAATCTGCATAAATTTAAGGTGATATGATATGCTTAAATAATAGCAATATATCAAAATAAAGAATAAACATTTTTTAAATATGTTCTTATTATTTATTTATTGCATTAATTTGTTTGCATTATAACAACAAAAACTGGAAGTGTGTGTGTGTGTGTGTGTGTGTGTGTGTGTGTGTGTGTGTGTGTGTGTGTGTGTGTGTGTGTGTGTGTGTGTGTGTGTGTGTGTGTGTGTGTGTGTGTGTGTGTGTGTGTGTGTGTGTGTGTGTGTGTGTGTGTGAAAGTATGGTAATGTCACAATGTAATTTTTTTAAAATAATGTATTATTTTAAATACAGATAAATTCATCATTTATAATTGAACTTTTCAGTTTCCGCAACTTTATTGATTGGCCACATAAATTATAATCACAACAAGCATAAAGTATAAAATATAACAAAACAACAAAAAATCCATATCATATATGACCCCAGTTTTGTCCCATCCAATTCGTCCCATATGAATCTGTATCATAAATAAAAGAGCAAAAATCAGCCCTTCTGTTTTCATGACGCCCCTGATGAGTCCGCTTTCCTTAAATAACGTTAAGGTCGCACGTCCGCCTCTCCTTCTGTGTCTGCTCTTATTTATCAAAGCTACAGCGTCGTCCATCTTAATGGCCGGTGTCCGTTTGGCCCTCGCTCTCGGACATGCACCGCGGCCCTTTCAGTGACCAGGGCCCAAGCCGCTACTTTTAGGTCTGAATGGCCTTGGTAAATCAGTCTGTCGCCCTCCGTCCTGTTTTATTTGTCCTTTTTATCCCTCTCTCCTGGCAGATGTGGGGCCTGGGGGTGGCTGGTTATTTATCACCGTTACCTCTGGAGCCGGAGGTACGACGGAGGATGGGACTGCCATACATAAGTAGACCGCTGTGACAAAGTCAGTCTGGAGTGAGACAAGTGGGCCATCTATCGCAGTAAAACAAAGATCCCCATGTTCCTCCATAGTCTTAAAGAGACCGGATTAATCAGAGAGAGCTCTGAAGACTCATATAACATCTTTGAGACAAAGACACAGAGGCTTAAACGTGTTCGATACTGGCCTCTGTTTGAGAGAATATTACAATATTCCCAAAGCAATCATGACCTGATACTCGTAAAAAAAAAGTACTATGATAAAAACATGGAATAACATAGTACAGTGATGGTATCCGGTGCTCATGTACTACTGTATGTCCAAAAATGCATGGCAATGGTTCGTTTTGGTTAAAAACCTCTTCAAAATCTTAATTTACTCTTTATTCCACGGCCTTCATCATTTATTAGAAGCAAACTACTAACACGATCGGCAAACTAAAACAGTAATGGTTCATTTAAATGTCTTACAGTGCTTATTATATTTTGCATTAAATACCGTTTAGTATCATTACATGCTTTTTTACACACATAAACGGGGTAAATCCAGTCATTAAGTTTTTTTTAGTTTATATCTATTTTCTGAGGCAACATTTAAGCTAGTCGCTCTATAACTCCATTTTGGTACTGTATTGCTATCTGAAATAGGGTGAAAACACCATCATTTATCATTTAATGTATACAAATGTTTACGAGTGCGACCTTCGCCTATATTATGGTAGCAAAATCAGTTTGTTCAAAGCATCAATTAAATATGAACAAAACAACTTATTTATTCATAAATATGCAAATAAAGATTACTTTGCAAATATAAGTGGTCGCAAAATTCCCAATATAAGCTTGATTAATCATCATCAAATCCCATGTTCCTCGGTGTCCACTAGAGGCCGCCGGTAATTACGGTCCGTCCTGTCAGCGTTTACTGCTGGACGATAACCCGTCCTCTCCTCTTGAAATACGGTCCCACCTGCCATCTGGCAGCGCTGACAGCGGATGACAGTCGGGAGGAAACACCACCGGGGATGAATTTATGGGAGTGTTGTGGCGATGACATGCTAGGTGAGATAGGAGCAGTGAGGAGATGGATTGGATTTTCCCCCAGTGTGTAGAGGAGAGGGGAAGAGGAGGAGAGGAAAAGAGGAGAAGAGGAGGAGAGGAGGATGCTGAGGATCTACTAACAGCTGGCCAGTCACTCATAAAGCTGTTTATGGTGAGCGGGATAAATGCCAACACAGACCACCACTATTCAAAATCATTAATTACACAGGCGGAAACCCTCACACGAGTGGACACATCTGTGCCATGACGAGTGGCCATACACACACTTTTCCAGAAAGTGTTCCGATTATATAATGCAACCCAGGATTTCCCAAACGCCCCTCGGAGCGCA